GGCGGGGTTTCTGGGGCTCTGGAGAGGCTTGGCCGGGAGGGGGCCCACCACAGCTCCCATCAGCCCAGGATCAGCAGCCACTGACAGCTAGGGTAACCACAAAAAAGGATGTTGGCAAGATAATCGTGGCTTCTTCGAGCGGGCATCCTGCTCCAGCAAGAGACAGTGTTGGGACCTCTGGGTCCTAGAGGGTGGAGGGTATGCTGAGGATAGTGGCCTGGGCCCATCACCCCTGTGCCGCATGACCTGGGCCCAGGTCCCCTTGCTGGTGCTGCCCCTCAACTGCACAAGGGGGCCTGGGGCGGAGGACATGTGGGAGCTGAGCAGCATGACCCTCTCTACTTCTCCCCAAGGTCAGCCAGACAGTGCCCATGCGCACCTGCAATGGGAGCTCACTGCTCCTGTCCTGAGTCCTAGACCTTTCTGCCTCTCAGGGTGATTCTCCCCGCCATGGGGGGCCGGGGCCTCCCCTCATGGTGCCCGCCACAGCTGCGTGTAACTGACTGTTGGCTTGTCTGCCTCTGCAGCCCTGCTGTGAGCTCCAGGAGGGCCAGGCCCTGACGTGTGCGGCCTCAGAGCCTGGTGTGCCCTCGACACCAAGCCTGGACTGTCCCCAGTAAGCCAGGCTCAAGGAGGGAGGCCGCTGCCCTCATAGTAGCCCTGGGTGTCTGAGGGGTAGCTTGAGGTGCCAAGCCAGGACCCAGCTCTCTGAGGACAAGGACCCACATTCCAATGCGCGAGATCCGCTAGGACTGACTTCAGCTTTCAAAGCACTAAAAATATCTTGCGACATAATTCATGTACAGTAAAACTCACCCTTTTAAGTGTTAATTGGCTTTTACAGGCACAAAAGTTTACTGAAAAGGGTGTGGCAGTCACATGCAACCCAAATAAAACCTAGGACCCATGCGGCCCAGTCTTGCACAAAGAAACATGCTCCAGCAACCCAAACCCTGCTCGTTTCTCTTGAACATCTTGAAGGAGTGCGTGGCATCAGTCATCTCTCCCTGCCAGTTCTCCCGCCAGAGGAACTGAGCACCCGGCTGCGGCCCCTCTCCCTGATCGTGGGGAGCTGCTCTGGCTTCTGCTCCCCTCGTCTCAGGCCCACTCTCTCCCACCTGCTTTCTGACCCCTCACAGAAGCCCCAATGCCGGGCTGCCAACCAGCAGACTCACTTCCACGAATGTGGAGGGAAGGTCCGCAGATGACGGTGGGGCAGGTGCATGAGCTCACACAGGTCACCTGGTG